GAGAGAGGGAGGGAGAGACAGACGGAGAGGGAGAGAGGGGGTCTGTGTGTGAGAGAGGGGAGGGAGAGAGTGTGTGTGTGTGTGTGTGTGTGTGTGAGGGGGGAGAGAGAGAGTGTGTGTGTGAGAGAGGGAGGGAGAGACAGACAGACGGAGAGGGAGGGAGGGGGTCTGTGTGTGTGAGAGAGAGAGGGGGGAGGGAGGGAGCGTGTGTGTATGTGTGCGAGAGGCTGTGTGTGCACATGTGTGTTCGAGCTTTGGAGCGTGTGTGGGGGTGAGAGTGTGTGTGAGAGAGGCAGGCTGTGGGAGATGTGAGTGTATGTGTGTGCATGTGTATATGTGAGTATGTGTGTGAGAGCTTTTGTGCGTGTGGGGATGTGTGTGTGTGTGTGTGTGAGAGAGAGAAAGGCTGTGGGAGGCGTGCATGTGTGTGCATGCGCGCATGAGATCTTCTGAGCGCGTGGGGTGTGAGGTGTGCGCGTGCGCGTGTGTGTGAGCATGCGTGTAAGAGCCTTCGAGCCTGGGGGGGGGGGTGAGAGCTCACGCATGCGTCCGTGAGCATGTACGTGGCCGTTTCTCCCACTCAAAGCAGCGAGCAGCTCCTGCCGAGCTGATTGCACTCAGGGGGCCCCTGTGTTAAGAGCAGCCCCATCCTGCACCATCCCCACCCCCTCTGAGGAGCCCTGGTCCATTGTGACAGTCACCACGTCAGCCACCTTGTTGAGGGTCTTGCTCTCCTTCGCTGACACCCCCCACCTTTCCCAGCATGACGTCTTCTTCCAACGATGGCCTCCCTTGACAATAGGTCCAAGGTACAGGAGACTTGGGCATCTCGTCTCTAAGGAGCACCCCATACCCACCTGATGCCATGGACCCCGACTCATCTTCCTCTTTGGCCTCTTCAGATAAGGTAAGAAAATCTCTTTCTGGAGAGACACAAAAAAAACAACCAGAAAGAAAACATGAAATGGAATTGTTTCGCCCCGTGAGACAATGTTCTTTAGAGCCATGGAAGTAGGTTGTGGCTGACACAGGATTATCATCTGTGGAAGGTTTGGGTTTTGAAATGCTGTTGTTATCAGGGAATGAAACTGTGTAACTAAGCCCAGTCTTCCAAGAGATGGCAGATTCTAGAATGGTCCTAGAGCTAAGACCAGCCCAGAGAAAGACAGAAATTACCAAGACGTTCTAGGAAAAATGCTCAGCTCCACCACTAGAAAGCCTAAAATCAAGAATAACAAAGTGTATCCCATTTTATCAATGGTTGTTAAGGACCATCAACTCGACCCCCAGCCACAATATTAATTACAACTTTGGAGGTTTAATTTCATTTTCATGTGGAAGAAAGTTCACAAATAATATGGACCTTTCACTGAATTATTCATAGATATTAGCCTGGTTCAAATTGGTTTTCTGTTAAACATTCTTCTACATGGTATACCACTGGTCTGTGCATTGCTGTACAGAGGTAACTTGTGTTTGCTGTGATGCTGAACACTGTGACACTGATGTGTCAAATGTAATAATGGTTACCCATGGTGGACAGTGTTCGGTGGAGCTCTCCGATTAAAACAAGCCTGGAAGCAGGAGTGGCGTCCACTTCCTAAATGGCTTGCCTCGGGAAATCCTATGAACAGTGCTCAGGTCTTTCATTCATAGGGTTGCTATGAGCTGTCTACGACTTAACAGCACCTAGCAACAACATAATTAACATCATTAAATCACTGTTGTTAAGTAGCGTTGAGTCGGCAACAATTTCATCTTACGCGGATCCATACCCCTTGGTACCAGCAGTCAGGACATCAGGAGACGCACTGCATTGGTTAAGTCTGCTGTCCAGGACGCTTCCAGAGTCCTGAAGAGCAATGATGTCAGTTTATACCCAAAACCACACTCACCTAGAGTTCACAGGAGAGAGGCCTCAATGCTGAGATGCTGGGCGTAGTGCCCGGGAAAGTTTACATTTCACTTTTCTCTTTTGTAAAAACTAAAGTCCTCCTCAGATTTCTTTGGATAAAGAAGAGCGGGTATTAGAGCAGTTCTTTCATACAAGTGAAGTGGTGTGGAAGGAATTCTGGAAAGGCAAAGGCACCAGCATCCAGACTTCCAACACACAGGCCCATGAACAGAGCAATTCCACGCCTGGGGGTCTGTCCTGCAGAGGTGCACGGTGGTGCCTGGTCACATTGTGTATGGACGGGGAAAAAACCTCCAAAAACATCCCGCCACCCCTCTGGAGAAAACCAGACGGCAGTGCTAGAGATTTACCATCTTGGAACCCCAAGAGGCAATTCTGCTCTTCCCTACAGTAATGCCATCCGCTTAGATTCCGGGATGTTCTTGTGATAATTACTCTTGGCACCAGTGGAAATTTGTTCCTGTTGTTTCTGTGTGGTTCTAGCTATTTTCTATAACGTGTATTTTGGTGCAAACAGGTCATATGCATTAAAAAGAAATAATAAAAAAGAAACTGAAAAATAACTAAGGGGAAGGAATGAGTCAGAAAAGGAGGATGAGAATGTGAAGAGTTGGATCGATGTCACGGATGCACATCGGAGCCTCTTCACAGGTTCGGGCTTCCCCTCATGTGTGAAGAGACAGCTAGACCTAGTTTTCTTTTGTTTCCCTTTCTAGCATTTTCTGTTGTTGTTAGATACCACCGAGTTGAGTATGTGAGACCTTTGCCATCCTTGCCTCCAGGGAGCACTCTGGTTGCACTTTCACTAAGACCTGTTTGTTCTTTTGTCAGTCCCTGGGTTATTCAGCCCTCTTCTCCAACACCACAGTACTGATTCTCCTCCTGTCATCCTTCTTCACTGTCCAGCTCACAGATGCACAGCAAGTGACTACAAAGATCATGGCTTTAACCAAGTGCAGCTTAATATTGAAACGGACATCATGGCTCTTCAGGACTTTGCAGGGGCCCTTGACAGCAGATTGTTGAAATGCAATAGGTCTCTGATCTCCTGACCAAGGATCTGACTGTGGATCCAAGCAAGATGAAATTGTTGGCAATTTTAATCTTTTCTCGGTCTATCATGATGTTGCCTACTGGCCCAGTGGTGAGGTTTTGTCCTCTCTATGGTGAGATGTAATCCATACTGAAGGCTGTGGTCTTTGATCTCCTGCAGCAGATACCTCCACTCCCCCTCACACTCCACAGATGCTGCATTTTTTTACGAAGGCTGGTGGCCCTCCTGTGTGGACCCAGCAGGTCTACTGGCACCGTTTTCCCCCAGCCATGGGTGCCCACGTCACATCTCTGTGTGTCATTTAGGTCATTCCTGCAGGATTTTAAACTTTTTCTTTTTTTTAAATTATTATTAACTTAAATGAAAATTTACAGAGATTTTTATTTCCATTTATTCATTGTTGCACTTTTCTCCCTGCCCACCCCTCCCCTCCAGTTTGTTCTTCTCTTTGAAAAGTACAAGAAAAATTCTTTCATTATTATACAATCCCTTCCCCCAGTCCACTCCACTATGCAGTCTTCATTCTGGACTCCTGTCATGACAATAATACCTAATCATATATCCCTTTTAAACAGTTCTCTCCCTCATCTGTTTCAATGCAGTATACATTATTTATCCCATCTTTCTCAGTCTCCCCTCAACCTCTATATCGGTCCTGTTTTACAACAATGACACTATGCAGTGTTTGTC